GACGGCACCGGACCCGCTGTCCAAACACATGCTGTCCTTTACCGGAGATGACAACGCTGTCCGTCACGTCCGTCCAGTGCGACCAAATTGACTGCCACTTCGTGTCCAATCTGTTGCACTTCAGTCGCCGCAGATTCACCTCAAATTCGGCCAACCGTTGCATTAGGGCCGAGTCGTGGCCACAATTGGAGCACTCGTTGATTGTCTTCAGCAAATAGTTGCGCTGGGCTTCCAATAGGGCGCGCGTTTGTTCGCTACGCCTGAGATCACTGGCCAGTCGGCCATTTTGGGCCCGAAGTGACGCTTGACTGTCGTTCGCGCCGAGTTTGACCGCGTTTTCATCGCCGCCACCGCTTCCAGCGGCGCCTGAGTTGAGCAGATCTGTAAACATTGGCAGAGTCTGGTCGTTGAGTAGCCGTCTCTTTGCCATTAAATTACTGGCCAGACATCGCATGATATGTCGCCGACATTTGCTGGCGTTCTTCAGCTGTACGTTCGGACAGTAGTTGCAACGGACCCGACGCTTGCCCTCCGCGTCCACGATATCTGTCCAGTGGTTCCATATACTACTCGCTCCGGCATTGCTTATCTTCGTGTTGATCAATGTCCGCACCGGAAGGCCAGGAGTTACTATCGGTGTTCCGCCGATCTGTATGATAGTCGGCACGCCGTCGATGGCGGACACGTCTGTCACCGCAACGGCGATACAGTTGTTGTCATCGCCGACGGTCTGGTCGTATGTCATGTCTTGGAAGAGACAAAGAGTTGCGTTATTTTAACCACAAAATCATTGTTTAACTCATACCTGAAGTGTTCGCCACAAACTGCTGATACAATGACTGGCCATCAGTATCGGTGGCCATGAGTTGGAACTGTCGCTGGTCTGCGATGTCGGCCAGTGTCTCGTAACTGTCGTCGTTATCATTGTCGCAACCCATGGCCACCAGCCGTGTCCTACATCTGTCCATTTTGTGTCTCAACTCTTCGGCAAACTTATCGACAATGCATTTGTTGCCAAATTGGCATTTAATGAGATGTCGCTTACACTTCACCGCATTCTTCAGCTGTTCGTTCGGACAGTAATTGCATTTCACGCGTGTCTTAGCGCCGGCATCGGTGGCCACATCTGTCCAGTGTTGCCATATATCGTCTCGTTTGGGCATTTTTTCTGGCCTTTCAAGCGATTCTAGTCTTCAGCTATTCTTCAGGTGATTATCTGTTATTAAATAATGTTTTTACTTAAGTTTAATATACTTTTTGAAAACTTATGGTAACTTTTTTGCGGACACTTACCGTATGGCCTTTCAAGCGATTCTAGTCTTCAGCTATTCTTCAGGTGATTATCTGTTATTAAATAATGTTTTTACTTAAGTTTAATATACTTTTTGAAAACTTATGGTAACTTTTTTGCGGACACTTACCGTTAAACCCGGTGTTAAGTTGTGGTCTGATTACTAGCGTATAATTCCCACTGTTTTTTGTGTTGGCAATACTCCCATCAAAGCATATGGCTATTTGCTTGGTTACCATGGTGACCGGCATAACCTGTACATACAAACTGTTACACCTAGGTTATGGGAATATTACTTGAGTCCCCTAATTGCCCCTGATTTAACAGTTAGTTTAAGTATTACTTTATTGGTGTTAAATTACTATTTAATTGGTTTTAATTCAATGTATTTAAAGTTTTGTTAACTTATTTTGTGTGTTGTTTAGCATTGACAATGCTGCATTGTATTGGAATTTTCCCCAAATAATAGGGAAAGTTTTGGTAAATACCTCACTAAAGTTCCCAACAATTAGTTACATTTTAGTTTATTTTGTACTAAATACTCAATTAGTTTGATCTCTCTCTCTCTCTCTCTCTCTCTCTCTCTCTCACACACACAAAATTAAACTTTAATTAAAATAATTATCAGACAATTAAAACCAAAATATAAAACATTTATTAAATATCATTGTATTGAATGGAAAAAACTATTTACATATCAATAAAACCATAAAATTTTTATCTTTACGTAAATATAATTAGTATTAGAGTTACAACTAAAACCATTGCGATCGTAATGGGAGGGGTGGGGGCGATGTTATTGGACTGCTTAGGAGGGGTAGTAATGGTTGGCGAGAGCTGTGAGGAGGGTGTCATAGGAGGCGGGGTCATCGACAAAACCTCTTCAATCCAGTCAATCATCATCGATACGCGCGTGAAATACTGGATACCGGGGCCGCACTCCGTATTGTCTAAGCTCAAGCTATAAGTGGCCACACCTATGATCACCGCTCGCTGGCCGTCAAACTGGATCAGCGGTGAGCCCGAGTCTCCCTTAAGACATGGAGAGAATGAGTGCGTGAGAGAGTGAGAGAGAGAGAGAGAGAGAGAGAGAGAGAGA